TGTTTTCAGTAGAGCGAGTGCATTAAATGCGTATAAGTTTATACATATACGTGAAATGCGGCATTACAGACGGATAGATCGAACGCATCATTCTGTGCCGCAACACGCCACACTTTGTTTTGCCGTCTGCTGTTCCTTGTAATGCTGCAGAGAACTCTTCGTAGCATTTTTGTGTTGCAGGCAAACTTCTTTAAGCACGAGATTTTCCAGATGTCCGGGCTGCATGTACTTATGTGGCCGTCTGGTTGCCTGGTAGGTTTTTGTGCCTCTGTCGCTTCTTGATGTGTCTGCATGCGTGGTTGCGCTCGATTGGTTCGTCATGCTGGCAGTCACCGTAGGGCACCCACTGCACAGATAAGCTTGTATATACGACTACGTGTTGAATCTGAAGAAATGAGGTCAGCTTCGCGCCCTTGGTCCAGGCACTACGCCGCCATGAGGAGTGACGGGTGGCGAGTTTCAACACCGTAAAGTCAAGGTAGCAGAGGATAGCAAGTGAAAACAGGTGCACCGGAGACTTCAACATTACAAGCAGCTTGATTGCAAACGTCTTGCTATCAACAACAGCGTTTCTAACATCTGCAAAGAGTGGCACATGTTTGTAAGTTCCTGCCGCCGTGTGACAGCATGCGGAGCCTTGGCGGCAGCCTTTGAGAAAAGGCTCCCCCTTAAAGCCTGACTACCCGGGTCTCCCACCTGCGGAGCGAAGCGAAAGCATCGCATCGCGCAATATGTAGACAGAAAGATGTTTTGGCTTTCCGCTCTCGGAGTGGGAGCCCCCTGAGTTCCAGGGGCGCTTATTGTTTAACCGTCACGCAGGAAGGCCACGTAAGGCCCTTATCCTCAGCAGAGCACATAGAGCCAGCTAGCTGAGGACCTTTAACACCGTGTCAAAGCACGTTTCTTTCCAGGCACTAGACTAACCGTCAGCAAGCCTCAACAGGAACCCGAGCAACTCGTAAGCCTGATACATTGAACCATTGAATTGTTATATTTGTTGGCATAGAGACCTCAGCCCCGCGCCAGTCCGAAAAGTTTGTGTGGGAGTTGAAGCTGCCAATCGGGTGACAGGCAAAGGACGGAATCCTGCAAGGCTACTGCCAGCAGTCTTGGAAGCCTTGGCTCAAGAAAAGCCGCAGCTCACAGCAGCTTGATATTCCAGACTTGGATTTCCACACCTCTGCAGCTAAGCTCAGCTGGAGCTACAGACCCTGACGACCGAGACAGTCCCCGACAATCCTAGCTTGGGGTTTAGGCTTTAGCCTGATATCCATCGCTCATCTTCAAAAGATCCAATCTGGAACCATGGTTAGCGCAGGGGCCAAGAAGTTCCGGACTCAGCTGGGTGTGAGGCCTCGGAATCCATTTCGTCGCAGGTCAACTGCTGATGATGATTGAGGTGCATAGCTCACACCCTAAACTGCAAACTACTCTTACGCTGTAACTCACGCGACAGCATTGCCACTGGGCTGTGTCTTTCTTTCTGTGGCACGTGCTGTGGGGCGGTTAGTTTGGGGGAGCAAAGGATGGGAAGAGCTGTCTTCGGCACGTCAATACACAGATGAGATCGATGCCGGTGCCAATCAAGTTGAGCTCCGCCCTTCCTCGAATACACAGGCGAAAAAAGCATCTGTACCTTTCGGAGATGCTTGTGAGCACAACCGAGAAGAATGCTTGTATAGGGGATGGGCATCTGCCCTCGAGGTGCCACCGTTCTTTCAGTGTAGGCTTGCGTGGCCGGCCAGTCACGACGCCGTTGTTGTGCGTGGCCTTTTTTTGATATTCAATTATTAGTTGTCACTTCTCTCTCTACCTTGGCTGACTGGTTAAGGACCTGCTACTACGAGCTGCTAGGCCATGGGGCTTGGAATGCTGGCATCTAGGAATTAAATGCGGTGTTGAGAGTGGCAAGATTGAGGTTCGAGCGACTCGCGGTCTAGCATGCGGTTCGACGGCAGAGATGCTAGAAGGGGCTTCTCTCCTCGAAGTGTCGGCAGGCTTGGATCGGAAATGCGAAGCTGCGGAGATCAAAGCCACCTACCGCAAGTAGGAAGCCTAGAGTCGCAGGAATATGCAGCAACTTTTGGCACTCCTGCAGCGCACGGCCGAAGCCGTCCAAGGCTTGCGTTGCGCATGCATCCCGACAAGGCGCACCAAAATGGAATGTGCCTGGGGCCCGATAGATGGCAGAGAAAAGTCCACATGAACAGCATACTAACCGCGAGCCGCTTGCGACATGGCTTCGTCGACAGAGTGTGGTTGCTGAGTCTCTGTCTAGAGGAACTTCAAATCCCTGAATGCCAAAACCTCTAGCCCACATTCACCGTGCCCCCACAAGTAAATGCCAGCGCTCGAGGCCCAGAAGAAGCGACGAAGCGCTTTCAGCAGATTCAGGAAGCCTATTCCGTGCCCTGGATGATGTTTGCTCCATGTTACGTCCATGTTCGCTTTATACTAATCTCAACTTCCCGCTCCATCTGCGCAACTAGCGTTTCAGGTCCTTTCCGATGCGCAGGACCCACAAGGGAACTGCACCATGCTGCGCTGCCATGTATCTGTATAAGTTCCTTCATCAACACGTCCCCGCTACCACTACAGGAGAGAGCCTGGTACGATGCCCATAGAGAGCAAATTCTCAGAGGCGATGATGGGCCCGGTGAGGACGAAAGACGTTCTTCGAGTGGCGAACCCGAGCGTTGAAGTCACATCCTCTGCAGGACCCTTTCAAGACCAAGATCAACTTGTACAAATATTTCAGCAGAAGCCTTGTGCATGAAGCAGGGCTTTCGTAACCTAGAGTAGCATCTGGAGACAAGGCGTGTCCTGCTTCGACGGCTTCGGCAATGACTCTCGCGGTTTTTTTGCGGTCTATTCCGAACTGTTCGAGGCACGGCGCTTCTGCATGGCATCGGAATGTCTGCGCAGCCAGCGTGACGTCGTGGATGATTCGCTTGACCGGTGACCGTGCGATCCTACGAAGGCCATCGATGCCGAAGAAGAGCAGTGGGAGGTCTGATCTTGTCGAGCCACATGCTCAGATTTCCAACATAAGAGCATAAGAGAGTCGAATCGAGGATGCCGATGAAGATCACTTGGCCATGCCTCCCTTTGGGCGCTCGGACAGCGAGTGGGCCGACGTGTCGGCTTTCTACAGGCAAGGAAAGATTCAGTACTCAGAAGGGGAGGAATGTTGCCTGCAGTCCCTTGGGCTCTTCGCCGTTGGCTCGTGATCGGTGGTGTTGGGGTTGAGCAGTGGTCTTTCACTGTTTGAGGCCTACGCTGGCATGCTCACTGGCATTATTGTGTTTGACTGTTGTTCTGCTGTTGTCGCCATGATTACTACTCCCTACTACTTCTTTTCGAACCCAACGTTTCTCAACCATTCTCACGCGCTTGTGGTTCGTTCGATGCGTGTCAGGCACTGGCTGGACTTCTGCTCGCGGAAGGCCGGGCAGTTTGGAAGATCTTCTAGGAGGCTTTGGGTGGGTGAGAATTTCTCATCGTGGATCTGAGCCATGCCTTTGTCTCATTCCGCGCGGTCTTTCGGTCTCCTGATGTGCTAGCGAGGCGTTTGGCCATGCAGACCAGCTCTTCGCTAAGAAATAAGAAGGGCTCGTTTGCCTGGCTTCGGGGACAGGACAGCTTGTTCCGCCTCTGGCTGAGGTGGAACCCGAAGGACGCCTCCAACCGGCAAGTCCGCAGGGCAATGGAGCAGGCAAGTCTCCTGTGACCCTAATGTCGCTACTGTCTGACGTGGTCTTCGTCACCTTCGAATCTTCGCAGGAGAACAAAAAAGCACGGCAGGCGGTGATTTGCGGCAACTGTTGTTATGCTTCACCATCAGCTATACATTGCTATTCAGCAGGCTGCAAAGAAGGAGTTCAATGCAGAGGTCCGACAGCTTGTGAAGCCTCGATCTCAGAGCTTTCAATCAATTTACATGGCCTACCCATACCTGGTTTCAAGCACAAAGAAGGGCATAGTGCGGTATAAACATGTGTGAGGTTCGTGCAAAAGCGAGATCCCAGATATCAAGCCCATCAAAAGCAGCAGATGAAGGACTGGGGCTAGCCCCGTAGAACAATTGGTGTACGCACTCTGCCACTGAAAGGAGAACATCGAGAAGAACCAGCGGGACAGAGCTGAAAAAGATCGACGAAAAGCTGACGAGGACGGTGTCTTTTGGATCTTTTGGGGGTCTTGTAGCATTCGCAAGCCCAGCCACGGAAGAAGATCGCACAAGTGCTCGAGTTGTTTCCCGCCTGCGGTGATGCCCGCAGGCCAAGGAAAAGGAAGAGCGCAAGGCGGCTGCAAGACAGGCAGAGGAGGCGCGAGACATACAGAAGGCAACAGCTGAAGCTGCATCCTGTGGTAACCTCACGAGAAGAGTTATGATCATGGTGATGGCGATGATGATGATGATGATTACGATGATGACAATAAGGCGATGATGATGGGTGATTTTGCCCCCACTGCTGCTGCTGCTGTGACAGCTGCTGCTACTGCTGCTACCAATGCTACTACTGCTGTTGCCTTTACCTGTTTATCACCACCACTACTGCTGCTACTACTACTCTTCCTCCTGCTGCTGCTGCTGCTCCTACTACTACTACTGCTACTACTGCTGCTGCTGCTACTACTACTACTACTACTACTACTAGTAGAAATACTGCGGCTGCTGCTGCTGCTGCTCCTGCTCCCGCTGCTGCTGCTGCTGCTATTGCGTTTGCCAGTGCTTGTGCCACTGGTACTGCGACAGCTACTGCCACTGGCACTGCCTCTGCGACTGCTACTGCTGCTGCTGCTGCTCCTGCTCCTGCTGCTGTTGCTGCTGCTGCTGCTGCCACTGCTTTTGTCAGTCCTAGTGCCACTGGTAGTACTGCTGCTGCTGCTGCTACTGCTGCTGCCACTGCTACTACTGCTCCTGCCCAACCTCGGAACTTGCTTCTGCTGCTACTGCTACTTCTACGGCTGCTACGACTACTGCTACAGCGACCTCCGCTGCTGCTGCTACTCCTGCTGCGACTGCTACTCCGACGGCGACCAGTAATACTTTATCTGATTCTGCTGCTCTGCGAGTTCTACCACAAGCGCCACCACTTTCTACTACTGCCGCTGTAGGTACTACGACCTAAACAGAGATGAAACCATGACCCATGATGACGGTAGAAACTACAAGAACAGGAACAACCCCAGCATCAATGGCAGTGGTAATACAACCAGCATCGTTTCAACAGTGGCACCAGTGGAACAACATACTTCAGAACCCAGCAGCATCCAAGAACAGAAGTGCTGGGAAGTGCTGATGCAGCCTTTCAGCATGTCTGCTCTGTGGGATCCTCTTGCAGGAGCGCTGGGCGGAAGCCAGAGCAAGAAAAGAGGCACTCCATTACTGCCGGCACAGTTACAGCAACACTACGCTCCTCCTGCACAAGGCAGCTAGCTTTGATCGGTGCTGCAGAGAATTTGCCTGAACAGGAGCAAAGAGCTCGCGGCGAGGTGGTCAGCGAGGACCGGGCATTTCCGGGCAGAGAACTCTGGGGAGCATGCAGAGCAGCTTGGGCTTCTTGTAGTGAAGACCAAGCGACCCCTTTTTGGGATGCTACGTACAGAGTCGCAGAGAGGACGAAGAAGAAGGCAGCGAGGCAGGGTGTCCAATTGTCGAACGAATGCCAGGGTTTTTCGTCAGAATACTGTCTGCTTGGCACCGAGGAGGAGCTAGCCCGGTACTGAAAGCATGGTGGCGACAGCAGCCGATGTAGGTCACAGACTGTCGCAGCGAGGTCGAATACTACTGCGAGATTTGCAAAAAAAGCTTCAAGTCGGAAAAGGCACCGACGGCTGGTCACACCTTGGCCCGCCCCGTGAAAACGAGCCATGGAGGCGTTCGAGCAGCATCTCAAGAGCAAGAAGCATTTGCAGGCCTATTGTGCTGCAAGGGTCGAGCAGTCCTGGGTTCCCAGCTCTGGGATTCCAGGGTGGAGGGCTGAGCTTTCAGGTTTTGTGAGCTCTGGAGGCTGTTGCGAAGCTGCAGAAGGAGCTGGATCGGGAGATGAAGGTGCAAAGCTGATGCTTGAACGGGGGGGGTAGGGGGGGGGGGCGTATGCCAACGGGTGCTGTGTTTCAGACCAGGAGGAGGCAAGAGCCTCGAAGAAGCAGCCCCAGAACGAGGAAGAGTCTGAGGAAGAAGAATCTGAGCAAGAAGCTGAAGGCGCCGATCATTTGTATGCAACAATTGACACCGAAGCACACCTCAGGAGAGCTCCAGGAGACGGTTTCAGCAGAAGCAGAACCATCAAAGCCCAGCAAGCCCGTCAAACACGAGACGGCCGATTCCGAGACCAGAGAGGATGGGTTGGGGAACTGCGATACATCGGCAGCGGATTGCTCCGGAGAGGCGTATACACATCAGACCGCTTGAGTGTTCACGAATGTTTGTGAAAGTTTCCACCCCTCCTTGAACGCGAAGTAGGCCCAAGTAATCCAATCGGAACCGGGGTGTTGTGAGAAGAGTTCCATAGTGTAACTTTTCAAAGCAAGATTTAATCTATGCTGAGGTGGCAGCTTCGGCAGCCACGTCATGAACCGATACTACCACACGAGAATTGCACCATCAATGGAGTCTTGCCGACTCCTGCAGCTGATAGGTCCAGCTTGATCCAGGCCCCCTTGCTGGTTCACAGCTCATCTGCGTGCAATGCATTATCACAACCATGGTATCAGGTTTGCACCGGCTTCCGGTCCCTGCCAACCAAATATTTGGAGTTGGAAGTGTGTTGGGCGGAATGCATAGTGTCTGACATTACAGGTTCCTCGCTAATGGCTGCTATAATCATATGCTTGGCACTTATCTTTTCGTGCTTCTGCTGCTCTGCAATCTTGCAGAGGACGATTCCAACAGCGAGAGCAGAAGCGACAGCGAGGCCCATCATTGCTATCTTTATGGCTACCACAGCTACAGTTCCACTACATTGTTATCACTTCTTTTATTGTTATTAGTATTGTCATCATTATTGCTGTTGTTCGTGGTACACGGTTACGGTTACGGTGACGGTTCCTGTTGTTGCTGTTGTTGTGAATCATTTGCAAACCGACGAGTAAGCGAGTGACTTCAAGCTCTTCGCCATCGCATTCCAGACTGTCTATAACACCGCCATGAGCCGTGGCCGCAATCCTTCCAAGTGTGTGATTCAGTACGCCTGCCGAGAGCAGAACACACAAGCTTCTCTCAAGCTCACACATGGTGAGACTCTTGGCTCTAAGCTGAGAGCTATGACTGGCCGGACTGACTCGAATTGGGTCCTGAAGCGGACTCAGCCTGGCGACCGTAAACGCCAAGCCCCATCTCCTGACGACGATGAAGTACATGGCTGGGGTGATTGGAGAGGCTGGCGCGGCTGGAATGAGTGGAACCAGCAAGGTCGTTCCAATTGGCGATGACCCACGCAACAGTTGCTTAGGCAACGTAAACAATACGGGCACCGTCCCGACGTGGCTGTACAGCCTTTTTCTCAATTGCCCCATTTGCTCCCACTTGCCTTTTCACCACCGTTTGCTCGCGTGACCTGCCTGCGACAACTATACAGTTATACTTCCCAACATTAAGATTCACGTTTGTCTTCTGGCGAGCCATGACTGACCGTACTTGCGAGCAGACATAAACTGCACACTGCCTGCCACAGAAATGCTCGTCGCACCTCACAGTTCCAACCTGAGATGACAGATCTTGAACGTGGTTGTGGTAGTGGTTGTGTTTGTTGTTGTTGCTGCTGCTGTTGTTGGTGTTACTAAGATTACTGACAGGGGTGTTCATTATTGGCTATACTTTGGCTATTGTTATAGTTATTGTTGGGAAAATGTAAATTCACTAGCATCAATTGGTAGTTTATTGTTCTTACCCGTATTATGACTGCCAAGCCCTGCCACACTTCAATGAGCCCGGAGTGCATAAGGTAGATAGGCCGAAAGCACGGCCGTGGCCGGTGTAAGCAACTGCACAGCAGACCTTGCTGCGCCTGAGGAGCAGCTTTCCAGCTTGTGTTCCTGAATTGAGGAAGACGTCCATGTTTCTTCCCTCTTGTAGATGTTTTTGTTGTATGTGTGCCTGACGTTATTTGGACCGCCAGCCTGCGGCAAACTGTCAGGACGACTTCCTGGCTCGTTTTGCTGCGAAGAAGCAGGGCGGTCGTGGTGGCCAGGACCTTGGACCGAGTTTGCAGTGGCCTTCACATGACAACTGGAAACTCATTAATGATTAATGCCACTTTACATTGCCTTTGCTGTGGAATTCCGCATATATCACTTGATTCCACTATGCCTTCATCGAGGCTACCCTCAGGCCGCCACGAAGACCGACCAGGCGCGTTGCTGCATAGCTGAGCCGGCCTTGGAACGCTGCATTCGCCTGTGCAGAAGTTGCTGCAGCCACAGGAGTCAGATAGTGAAGACGAGGAGCAAGAAGACATTCGGGGACGAAGGCGTTGTGCTGTGCTTGGGGATCACGCTGCCAGAGCCTCACCAATACGACGATCTTGCCAAAGAGTAGAAAGCCCCAGGGCGCAGAAGAAAGAGCAGCAAATGGCGGCAGCACTGCAGAGGCAGCAGGCAGGTTTGTCTAGCTTGTTGTCTGAGTCAAAGGGTCGTTTCTCAAACGGACTTCCTCTCCGTCTTCACAGCTGTTCACAAGGGGGTCATTAAGCAGGAGCCTTGCAAACCAAACTCCTCCAGTAGACGCAAGGATCACATGCAAACTGTACAAACACAGTGCTGCGAACAGTCCTCAGTGTGGGTGGCATTTTTGGTGGCATTTCGACGCTTGATAGCGAGTCTGCTTGAGACTACTTATTTTGTGATGCGTTTCGAGTGGTGTGTGTGGGTGGCTGCCTGCTGAGCATATGTATGTCAGCAAGCTTTCGAAGCAGGTGCTCCGCGTTTCAGATCAATTTCGGAAAAATAGTGGGCTTTTGAGAAGTCGCATGCGACGCCTGGGTAGTTTCGGGAAGTGTCGCGCGCAGCCATGTCCTAAGATCATAATGCTCATATCCCCCAGCCGTCTGAATGAGCTGAGCTGACCCTGCCTCTCCCAGGAAAAAGATTCAGAGCAAGTCAGACCCTCAACTTCGCTGCCGCAAGATTGCAGGTGCGGCTAGACTGGTATCAGCACGCTAGAGCAGTGTAGCAGTAGGGTAGCGCAGGAGACCTGCCAGATGAATTGCTTGGCCGCAGCGTTTCCTCACTGGGGCTCAATGTCAGCCTTGCAGAGTGAGAGAGGTCTGTGTGGCGATGCCAATAGCGGACATAGATTACCGGGAGTACTTCACCAGCGAGAAGATAGCCGACTTGAAGGAGTCCTTTGACAGCTTCGACTCTTCTGGGGATGGAAGGATTGGGGCCGACGAGCTCTATGGCATGTTTAAGAAGCTGGGCACCAATTTGACCCGATCGCAGATTCGTGAGGTCATGCACGAGGTGGACGCAGATGGGAGTGGCGAAATCGAGTTCGAAGAATTATGTATTTTAGAAATCAAAATGGCGCGCACACGCCCGCGCCCAGACCTCATCGATTATCAGGACTATCTCGACTGCAAAACCATCCAGAAGCTGGAAGAGGCCTTCGACAGACTGGACGCCGACTCGCGGGGGTATGTTTCTGTTTTTGAGATGAAAGGATTGCTGGAGGCACAGGGTTGCAAGTCAAGCGAAGATGAAATCGATGAGATTTTGGGAGAGTTGAATAGCCAGGGGGAGCTGGACTTCGCTAGCTTTGCCTCAGCATGGGCAATCGCAAACCAATGTCGGAAGCGTATCAATTATCGTGAGTTCTTGGACAAAGACGAGGTCGAAGAGTTGAAAGAACTCTTTGAGGAGGGGACGATGGGTCAGGGTAATTTGGCAATCACCGAGCTGGACCACATCTTCCGGAAGTTTGGCTACCCAATGAAGACGAAGCAACTTCGAGGCCTTCTCAAGGACTTCGACAGCGACTCCTCGGGGGAGATAGACTTCGAGGAGTTTTGTGTCATGATGCTGCGGCTCAAGTGCGCGAAGCAGGTCCGACACATCAGCCCGGAGACGCACGACTGCCGCAGTCTGTGGCTAGACGAGGGCTTCACGGCCAAGGAGCTGCAAAAGTCCGGGTATGGTATCTTTCACATGAAGGCTGCCGGTATCTCTGTCCGCCAGATCCTCGCCGAGGCGGAGGTCACGGCGCTGGAGATGCGTTTGTGCGGCTTCACAGCTCAAGAGCTAAGGAAGGCAGGGATGGGGGCCAGCGAGTTGAGGGCCGCAGGCTTCTCCTTGGCGGAGCTGCGTTTGGCTGGCTTCTCACATGCTGTGCTGCAGACAGCCAACAAAACCCTGCGCTCCTATCTTTCCAAAGGGAACCTCACCGTGTTGCCGCAGCAGAATCCGAAGTTCGACCCTAAGAGGAAGAAGCACACTCCCTTCATGAAGCTCTGGTTGACACCAAAGACATCAGATGATCCTAAACCTGTCACTCCTCGCATCCGTGAGCACACTGACTACCGACAAAAGTCAAAGTCGGCACGGCCCGCTACCACAGGTTCAGCAGAGCTCGGAAGATATGAGACCTCTTCCAGAAATCCTAGCAGGATGGGAAGTTATTCAAGCTATCGAGCTAGCCGTATGGTGTCGGAAGCCCGGCGGCCCTATACAGCAGCTTGAGCAAGCAGGTCGAGGAGGTTTATGTATAATTAAAGCTGGCAAGGGGCTTTGCAAAGCAATCGTCTCTAGCTGGCTGCTTGTATTTCCGTTTCGCATCACAAAGTCTCACCGTATCACAAACTCGAGCAGATCGGAAAGTGTTTCAACGGCAAAAGCGCTGTCATTGTCGTATCTCCAAGCACCTGCCTTCAATTGGGGGAAACCAATTATTTGTAACTCCCTGTGACAGCATAGAAAGATTCAATGATCCAGCTCTAACTATGTTCACATGCTGTTGTGCAATCTTCGACGTGCTGCTTTTTGGACGCACGCCTGTGCTACATGGGACAGCCCATTATAATCAGAAGCCCCAACCGCTAATTTGTTGCAACAGGTGCCCGGGCATCCCATGCTGAGTGCTAAGGGGCTTTTCTGAGGCTGGAAGCAAGCCAAGAAAGAAGGAGGCACTGCCACTCTCATGTGACCGGGAGCGAGCGGATCAGTCAGCAGTTGACGCTCCATCACCGCAGGGATGGACATCTGTGAAGGTTTGCACCCGGATCACCCAATTTTGAGCGCAATGCAGAAGAAGACGCCGTGGGTCATGACAACGTAGTGACAAACATGCTCATCACGGAGCTGGCTTCTTTCTGGTGCAGGGTGTGGAGCCCTCTGCGAAGGACGGCCCCATTCCCGAGGTGGGCAAGGGTTGCCATTCGTTGACACCCTGGGTAATTGAACTCGATGCTTAAATCACGCAAGTCGTGCAGGCAGATGCAATAAATGTATCGCAAGGGATAGCAACAGTAAGATAGTATGTGACTAGTTAAGTGTTTTGTCGTTACATTGCTACTGCTACTACTATGAGTGCCAGTACCAGTCAATTTTCCTGAGAGTAAATAGTTGGCTACTTTCATGTGGCGCACCAGGGCAATGTGTGCGGCGTCTGCGGGGAGGCAGGGCTCTGGACTTGGGGCGGAGGATATATATATATATATATGCATACAAACTATATACATATGTGTGTATACATATCTGCGGTCTGGAAGACGCGCAGAGCGGCTAGTCTGTTGCAGAAGCTTTCGCGAAGCATCACGTTGGTTGCAGGACTTCTCCAGCCGGTCAGCAATGTTCAAGCACATTAAGGCACGGGAGTGAGCTCTCCGTTCTATCTCATCCATCCTAGAACCTTCGAAGCCGGTGTTCGGGCACCTCAAGAGAGCCCAGGCAACAGGCCACGCCATGCTCAAGGCTGCTGTGGCAGAAGAGCCAACCAAGGGCAAGAAGAAAAAGAGGCAGACTCCGTCAGTGCTGGTGTGACCTGTCCTTCGAGCAAACTTGTGCCCACACCGTACAGGTAGCCCCTGCTGGCCGGCACGCAGCTCCCGGTGCTGATGTGGCAAAATAGGGCCGTGCACAGGTTCCTGCAACTCGGCAACTGCAAGCTGCTGTAAAGCAACAATATCCAAAGCCCGTGCGGTAGAGCTCATTGGCTCGCTTTTCCTTGCCACGCTAGCACATGAATGCCGAGCAGGTAGCACGTGGTAACGATAACTACGGACGTCCCTGTGTGGGCAGCATGCCCCAACTCCCTGCACATGTTTCCCTAGCTCAGCATGGAGCTTGATCTGTGCTGACCTTACTGGACTGCGACCTGACATGTGGAATCGTTGCGTCAAGTCGCAGGTTCGCAGAGGTTCTTTGCGATGCAGCAGCCATCTCAGTTCGGAAGCCGACCGACGCTCTAGCTTCGTAAATGCTTGAGCTTCAGACTGCACTGCACAGAGGGCTTCGGGCTTCGAAAAACAGCATTCAGCACTGACAGGGTGGCAGGAGAATTTGGCTAACACGCGCAAGAGCCGCCAAAACGAAAGAGAGTTCCAAAGCAACAACAGCTCAACCTTCAGACTTGCCGCTCTCCGTGGTCGTGCCAGGACCCTGCTCTGCTGCTGGGAGGTGCAGCAGGCAGGCTTGTTGCTCTTTGGTCTTTTGACGGTAGGCCGGTGAGTCGACTGTCGCAATCTGCAGGCGCGGCGGCGCACGACTTCGGCCGCGCGGGTCGAGCAGTGGCCTGGCTGGCCGATGTTGGTTCGATGCTTAGAAAGGGTTTAGCGTGCTTAGCAGGTTTGCAGCCTGGCTCTCCCAAAATCCGCCATGCTTGTCCGACCTTGCCGAGGTTCTGCAATCTTCCAGACAGGCTCGAAAAAGCGACAAGGCCCCGGCATGCCGTCCGTGAGATTGCGCAACATTCACTCTTAGGGCGGAAGGCCTTGGGCCCTAGGCGCTGCGTGGCCTATCGTCTGTTGCTAGCGGATGGGTGGCACCGTCACCGACACCACAGGCCCTGCCGGCGCTGGCACGGAACCTTCAGATCGACTTGGACTGCTTCAACCGGCCCCTTCCTTGTCGCTTTGGTACTTGAGACGGAATGCTGTACAAGGTGGCAAAAAGGCCCCTCGAGCTTGGGCTCTGAGGCCTTGAAGCTGGTGGCGGACTTGTTGGAGGCCTTGACCTGGAGTGTCCTATGACGTGGGTCACAACATACGGACATACGGTTTAAACCCTGCAGCGCGAGCTTCGAGTGAGCTCGAGCATGCCAGAGAAAAGTCAGCGATCCGTGCATCTTAGGAGATCAGGGATCACGACACCGCAATGCAAACACAACAAGAAAATGAGGATAAGGAGGAGGAGGAGAAGTGAGGATGGCGGCACTGCTACTAGTAAAGACGATGATGGCGATGAGTGCTATCTCGTAAGTACTAGAGCAGCAAACCGGGCCACGGTAGCAGTGTAGCAGTGATGGTGGTGATGGGTTGCTGATTGGATTAGCTTCTCAAAATACAAGGTCTTCAGCTGCTGAGGCTCAGCTGCCGCTGGTTAGTGTCTCTAACTGCTCAGGGCTCAGATAGCTCGGGCGGAGGAATCTGCGACATGAAATTAGGGAACTTCGCTTCAACACAAATGTACATAATATACACCCCAAGAAAACAAACATGTTGCTCCCAAGCCAATGTGCTGGCACCGAACAAGGCCCGGCCGAACTTGCCGTTCTTCGGAGCCCCGCAGCAAGCAGGACACGACACGACAATGATCATGAATATAGTGAATACGAAGTCTACGACTCTCTGCCACCGGTGCTGTGCTAAGTGAGCATCCGATTTCGTCGTGATGTGCACGTTGACATGGGGAGGCTTCGCCGGAAAGCAAAGGCTCCACACTAGTGGCTGCGGCATTGGACGCCCTCCGAGAAGGTGAAGCGAGTGCACAAGCTACTTGCATTGTGTGGGAACTCACTATGTGTGCTGTGAACCACACAAGCAAGATGCGACGAGTCTGCATACGCAGGAGCTCAACTGAGCCAGCTGCTTTCCGGTGGATCGACATCTTCAAGCTCACCTGCTCCAATGCAGCACTGGCAAACATTTGGTTGCCAGAGACTGTCCTCACGATCCCAAGCCGGTGACGGGTTTAGCAGAGCGGGGAGCAGGACACCTAGCTTTAGCATCGCGGACTATCAGAGTCATGGCAGGGCGACGCCGGAGGATGCAGCAGGCTAGCTTGGGCATGCCAGATCATGTCTTGATGTGGCCTGCGACGTGGAAGAGTGCTCGCAGCATTGAGACAGAACACACAGTGCACTGCTCGGCTGTGGTAGCAATTGCGCAGCAGGAGAAAGAATCTATAGCGGTTGATGCGAAAATATTGGAAGGCCACGAGGCTATGGCCATGGGCGCCGCGGGTGCAGTGGCCAAAGCAGTCAGAATCAAAGCGTCCTCACCTCAAGCACGCTGTGATCGAAGCACCACTGTGCCCTTTTGGATGCAATTATTGCACTCTTATTATAAGAATCAGAGCAAAGAATCATAGAATCATGGGAAAAACATGAAACTCCTGTGCCCCAAGCCTGAGAGGCCCGGGTGCCTTTGCCTTGTCCCGGCACCTTTTGGCCTGGCCCGGAGCTTGGAATCCAAGGGGGGGGGGGCCTGGCCTCCGACGGTACCTTTCATGCAAAAATAGGGCCTCTTAGGATATGGGAGTAAGAAGACTAAGACATTCTAAGAGCTTCAAGGCATGAGTCATGAGTAGAAAGACTTCAAGCGTGGCTTGAGACGCTTGTGTGAGTGCTGGACACGCCTCCTCCTGAAGGTCATTCTGCGCCGCTGCAGCGCTGGGTCGTCGGTTGAGCCTCAGGGGATTCGAGTTTAGGGCAAAGAGGGCGGTGCGTTGTTGCAGTTCGTACCACCGGCCTTGGTTGGCTAAGCCCTCCTCCATTTGGAGCCCAGGCCGGGTCCGAGTTTTTCATGGCAGGCACGGGGGCTTTTCCTTCTTCAAAACGAGCAATTTTGGAGGAAGGCAGAGAGAGAGAGAAAGAGAAAGAGAGTGAACATCCCATCCCACATTTCTCCGCCCCCTCGTCCCTGCCCGGAGAAGAAGAGGAGGGGGCGACGACCAGGGTCGCCTTGCTTCGTGAAGCGATCGGAAGAAGAACGAAGATCACAACCAAGATTTGTTTTGCAACCTTGGAGAAAGAACAAAGCAGAGAGAAAGACGGGTAGTGCGGGCTGGCTCAGCTTTAAGCACGGAGAGCCAGAGCTGACGGCCTGGACGCGTGCTTGCAATGAGACCTTGATACAAAGAGGGCCCTTGGCATCCAGTGTCAAAGCCCCTAATTACCTATAAAGGCCCTAATTAAGCCTTAACCCTAAACCCTAAACCCCTCTAAAGCCCCTATAAAGGCCCTAATGAAGCCTTAAGAGCAAGCACGCTAGGCGGAGAGGAGGAAGCCGAACTGTGAGGTGTTGCTTCCTTCAGCCCCGGCCTTCGCTTCCACCCGGCGCGGCCGCGAGAGGCCAGGGCTTTCGAAGCGTCCTGGCCCAGAAAGCTCAGTGAAGATGGTTATTTTATAATATATTATATATTATGTATTTATACATGTGTTGAGTATGGCAGGCT